TGTTTCAGTGACAGTATTTGGGTGATCTTCAACCTTTTTTACAACTGTGCCTTGTGTGACTGTCAGCAGCCATTTTCCACTTTTACTGTACTTGTGTCAATCTCATGACAGACCTCTGCACTTCCCTTTTTAGCCAATCAGAATAAATTTTTATATGTCACGTTTCACGCCTCTTTGCAGTCCGAGAAAAGTGGAGAATCAGGAAAACTAAGGTAAGGTATTGTTAGTAACGGTTTATCAGCAGAGATCCTGCTGTTGTGCTGTGCAAGCTGTGTTTGTTATCAATGATCAATTGGCCACTTCCAAGTTGCCTTTTGCCTCTGTGTCAAAATGAGTCTGTGGGAAACTATTGATATGGAAATGTGTTCTGCCTACATCTTATTTTCATGCAAATCAAACTCTTTTTCATATGAAAGGTTTTGCACAAAGACTCGTTTTGAAACAGAGGCACAAGGTAACTTGGAAATGACCTTTTCCATGACTACTCATGAGTTGTGTACTTGTATGTCAGATGTTGTGGAGATAAGGCACATACATATCTGCATGAAGACACCACAAGAATTTTGTCTGAACTGCTTCACATATGGTCTAATGGGCCACGCAGGTCGAATGCAGCATTAACCCGAGACGGTCTACTCTTACATTTTAAGCCATTATTGTACTGTGTTGCACGGTAATTCTTGCTACAGATCTTGGAATTACAATGTTTTTTTGTTTCGATATGTTAACAGCAATTCTGAATCTAAGGACCAGGCCAAACTCACATACAAATGGCTTCCTAAACAAGAAGAAGTGCAGAAAGAAGAAAGCAAGCGAGCCAGTCGCCGTAAGGCAGAGTCTCCAACATCGGTAAGGATTGACACCAAGCTGCAAAGCTTTATTTGTTAGCTTTGATTGCCTCTGTCAACCCACCATTTAGTGCACCATAATAAGATATGGCATCCTCTTGCCAATAAGGACCCCCACTGACATAGAATAGACTGATAAGGCAAGTTAATTAAAATGTTATCTAGGTTTGCTTTCTCGATAATTTTAACGTTATATTGAACACTGTACGTATCACATTCTGATGTTTAAGCTGAAAAAGAAATAAGCTCTGCATCTCCAATATAAGTGCCCCCTTGCCAAAAAGTGCCTTCCCTCAAACAAGCTTTAAAGTAAATTAGTATCCAGAGGCTAAATTGCAAGGGTTTCAGTAACATTTTCAGCTGAAGGGCAATTGGTTTTCACAGACAGGCAAAACCTTTTGAACTGAACATGTTTGTAAGAAGAACTCTCCTCTAGATGGTCAAACCAGGCAGGCAAAATTATCCTCTCAGCTGGTCAATTTGCCTAGTGCCCAGCCCTTAATGAAATCCCTTATATGGAATCATTACTTGGAAATCCTGAGGCAATTTGCTAAAGGGTTTTGGGAACAAAGATGTACTGTAACAGTACAACTATGAATAGCTTTTCCATGCTTGTATTAGGAAACCAATAAATCTAGATGTGAATTAATTAAATGTTCCTCTTACAGGATGCAAGAATACANGTACCTATCCATGTTGTTGAGCTGACAAATGTTCCACCTGAATTAAGAATGAACACAGGATCGCCATTACCGAAGCCCAGTGATACAAGACAAGTACCAGAAACTGAGAAGGACAAGGTGGGAAGTAGTTGCTAAAGGTTTTTGTTTATTTGTTTACAACTGAAAAGTTGTTCCATTTATGAGAATGCTTAAACTCCTATCAGATTCACAGCTTAATGCATGAGCACACAAAAACCCCTGTTTCTAATAACAACGTGTCCCTATAACAGTCAAACCAGATTTTGTTTTGGCATAAATTGTGAGGCACTTGAAACAAATAAAGTTAACAATGAAAGGGGCTATAATGATAATGTGTCCCCCCCCCCAACTTTACAAAAACTCACTTCCAATCAGACCAGATTTCTTTTGATGGAAGATTTGCAGTGATGTAACACATTGATTGGCAGGGCTGGAAGCAACTTCAGTCTGTCAATTCATAGTTACTCACGCAAGTTACCAAGTTCCATTTGCCTACGTCACTATAGTTCACCTAGTTGTTGCTGGTAGGTTTTTATTCGAGAAAATAATGAAGACTTCTAGACTTAATACTGTGTTATTGAATATGTCACTTTGTAGGGTAAAGCTAAGTATACTCCAAGCTGGGTGAAGGTAAAGTATGGTGCATGGTACCTAAGCCCCAGGACTTGGAAAGCACGGCCAACTGATGAACCATTACAAGATCCTAAAGCACAGCAAGATAAAACTTTGTCTGAATCCAAGAAGAAAAGCCAGAAACTGGTAAGCTGTACTGTATTGCAATACAGTCTTGTAAATTTAGTTAGTTTTTAATTATTAGATTAATTAACTGTTTTTACAGATGGGCTAAACCTTTTTGAACTGAACTTTTTTGTAATTAGAAAATCTTTACTCCAAAATTGTCCTCACAGCCAATCAATTTGCCCAGTGCATGGCCCTTAATGAAACCCCTGACTTGTGGCAGGCGTTAGCTCATTTATAAATTAGGTCAATGTGACACACAATGTGACACAACTGATAGTTACATGTAGCTAATTAAAAGTAATTTGTTAACTCTTAGTCATCATGATAACAGTGGATTATAACAACACTAACAACAGTGTGTGTCCCTTTACAGGATAGCGTACTCTCCACTATGCATGGAGCAAAAGCCTTCAAAGACTTCATTGACAAGAAGAACACCAGAGTGCCAGAATTTCTTGAGGTAGTTTCTGAACAACAAGAACAAGCCAACAAAACAGACACAGATGAGACTTCACAAGAGAGGAAAAAATCACGTGCCATTAGTACAACAACACAATTTGGTTCAACTAATTACGTATTCTGAGACTATTTAACGTGACAATAGTGCCACAATGCTTTAGTCATCACAAACAGGTAGAATTAATGAATAACTAGGATGCTCAAGAAAGTAATTTTATTCTTTGAAGCATTACTTTTCAAATTGTCCAAATATAAATACATTTTGTCAATATATTTCATAGTACAATATTTATTGTATATTAAAATAAAATTATTTTTGACAGTAACAATAGTGTCAGTTCATTGCAATAAAGAACAGTCCTGCAATTAACCCAACTGCCACTGACAACATTAAAATGGTGAGCGAGTAACGCTGAAACCAAGATGGCTCAATTATTTCTTCCTTTTGCTTTCTTGGTCGACGTTTCTTCCCACGCTGTTTTCTTTCAAACCACTCAAGTTCCTCCTGTGCAGATAGAAATGGGATTGCAGCCCCATGTTAGAAAAATCTTTCGTAAACCCATTGAGCTCCACATTTCATTTTGAGTCAAATCACAGACTTAAAGCAGCCTCTCAAGACTACAGAAACAGAATTGTAATGTGAAGTATTCTTTTGAGAATCATGCATTTATAAGTTGCAATTTCTGGAAGGATTTATATTAAAGACATCGATCAAACTGGTTTAGCTTGCCTAAATCCATAGATTACCAGGAGTGAGGTATCACCCTTACCAACGTCAGAATGTTTGGAAAATAATTTATAATGCAATTGAATTTGCTGACAGTGGTAATGTGGCCAAACATTACAGAACTTTATCATCTGTTCTTTTTGACATTCATTTCTATTGACACACACTTTTATTAGCAATTTCTCCTTTGTCTTCCTGTATCTCCAAATTATAATTTGGACAAGAATGAAACATGGCTTGCACACAGTGAGAAATGTTAAGCTTAGTGCGACTTTCAATAATTTTAAGGATCTACAAAAAAATTAATAACATTACCTGCTGTGCTCTAAGTTCTTCTTGTTTCCTCAATTCTTCCTCCTTAGTTGTCTCTTTCTTCTGTTTCATTTTATGTGCATTACAATCTTTATCGCACTCTAACTTAGCTTCACCCCTTTGGACCATGTGACATGGGAAATCCTTGAAAAATAAAACAAGAAACTATTCGGACAATCTTTCTGAGGATGTATTATAAACTCAAACAACTAATTAAAAGTAGACTGGTATGATTGAGTAGTTTTTCCTAATTTGAATGGAGTTTTGTTGTATTTGCTTGACAGAGAGCATCACTTTTTTGATAAAACCCTTTTTCTAAGTCTAGAACTAATCTTTTCTTAACATAACCAACATTCCCTACCAATTCCACGCTGACTGAGGTGGCACAAAAAAGTTTTCAGCACTTTCCAAGACTTTCCAACAACTCTTTAATAGTTGTTGGTACAACCATGGTATCAAAAAACTGCCCAATCATTAGTGAACACATTCTCATTTTCATGAAACAATAAAACTACCATAGCAAGAGTATAACTTGGTAAAAACACTCTTAATTATTTACAACTGGTTTTGTAAGCCTGGACCAGTATCTAAATGATCTGGTTTTATATGACAATATAAGTCAACATTTGCGGGTAGCAAATGACTTCAAAAATTTTACAATGTTGGCCACTAAGAGACCTTTCATAGTAAAAGTTTTGTTGCTTGAGATGTTGCATACGACTCTGAAGTAGCCAAATCATGAGAGCATGAGCCATCAAGGAGAAAATGTCAACTACAAATTAAAATAATGTCTTAATGTTGACTCATTTCTTTGCTATAGACCTGTGGATAAATATGTAGGCTTACTCTCTTTTTGCGTCGACAAGGACATCTCACAGCTGTTTTCCTGTTGCACAGTTCAGGGGAGGGACAGGGACCAGCATGGCAGTTAGAAGAACATCTGTGACCGCACGCTGCTAAGATCTTTGGGCATTGATTCTTGCATGACATCAGCTCATTGCTTGTTTGTTCATCTGCAGATGTCAACTCACTACAAAGGAAAACGCAATTAGGAAAAAGCAATTTGCAAACTCCAAAATAGCATTATGTTTCATGTAATATATCAACCACGAAAGACCGTGTCTGACCACATTTCCAAACACCAAGGAGAGAGTAAAGGAAAGAAAATGCGATGTGTAATAAAGTACTTTTTGACAAACTTGAGGTGTTTGGAAATCTGGTCAAACACTGTCTTGAGTGTTTGATATACATTTTCACTATTTGAAACTATGCTAATTAAGATAAATTAAGATCAGGGGACTGTTTCTCAAAGGTCCCGAAAAGTTTCTGGGGCTTTTAAGAAACAGGCCCCAGATAACCAAACACTCTCATGGTCATGATTTCCTCAGCTTAAGCTTGATGAATTATTAAAATGAATTTGAGAAGTGAAAGTAAAAACAATGGCTGATACAAGTACCTGCAAGACACATAAACAAGCATCAAGCGGCAGTGACACGGAAGCTTAACCATCTGTTTGCAACTCGGACAATCTCCTGTCAGTAGTATAGAGGAAACAGACATAAAAAATAGCACCAAAAATAACCGCGTATAGTATACGTAAGTACTTTGATTGACTGTTTGAAAACTAAATTGCAACAAGTTTGAGGTGCTTAATTTATTAAGTTCAGGAAAATTTCTTGACAACTCAGTATCAAATTCTGACTGTCATCGTACCTGGATGGCATGGTAGTGGACAATCATGTTTACATCCCTCTGGTCGAGGCTTCGAACAAGGTTCCTCACATACTTGACATTCTTTTCCAGCCTGTTGACAATGACAAGGACAAACCTTGTAAGTTAAGGCAAACAGAGCCTGCAGCCCGATATACTGAACATTATGTTTATTTGTCCTGACTACCTATTGTGTGAGACAGGTTTAAAAGTCAAAATTGTACAAAGAATGTGTGGGCTAATTAACAATTTTGCCACCCAGAAATTTGTCAAGTTTTTAAAAACAAACTCTCTTTCAATACTACACCCAAAGACCCAATTGTACAAAAAAAAAATTATTAAGTTTTACATGTTTGGAGTCAATTTGTATCAAGCAAAGTTGTATACTGCCAGTTGAGGCAAAATGCCAACAAGGATGTCAGGAAAGATTCCCGAAGACATCAGCAAAGATTTGCAGTTTGGGTAATTTTACTTGTAGTTAGATAGTATGTCCCGCCTCCTCCACAGGCTTTTCTTATTTTTCTCTTAGCACAAAGGACGATTGGGTGTGAGAAAAAGGGTATGAGCGGGAGCTGGTAGCAAGTGAGGAGCAAGAGCACAGGGAGTGATAAGAAGGAGAAAAACATTCCCATGCATCCGTCCTCACTAGTCTATCATTAATTTTTACTAGCTATTGCGGGGGCGACTGGGAATGAGGCAGTAGTATGTCTGTGTCAGCTTTCGGCTGCCATTCTTGTAATAACCTATTTTTCAAAATTGTATAGTTATGTATGTACGTAATTCTCTGTATTCCCCTCTAGAGTGGTTTTCATTTGAGTGGCGAAAAGTTATTTGTTTTGCAATTTCTAAGCTACACCATTGGCTTAAAAAACTCGAGCCAATTTTTCATTCAATAAGAAGTAAAACCAAAATCAATCATGACTTGTTTGCACATGGTTTCCCATGGTTTGTGTCAGCTACTTGTAGTTACTATGATATTTCCACTGGTTCACTGTATTGTCTGTGTCCTTTGTGATTGGCTAGAATTATTACTTTGGTTTTGGTTTTACAACACTCAATCAAAAACTGCTCTATACACGTAATACTGTACCTGTTGATTATCACTCGCACCAGTGACGACATGGCACTCCAGCTGGCAGGTGTGATTTCCACATGACAATTGGCGGCCACATGCCCGAGCACATGAAAATGGCTTTGCTGATGAACATGGCAGAGAGCTGATCTATGAGGAAACCAGCTTACATCTTTAACACCAAACCGATGAAGTTTGCAAATTTAGTTCACTAAAATTCAGTGTCAAAATGGTTATGCAGCTTCCGCTTAAATAACAATGTCATACTGTCTGGTACTTTTTCCCCTGAAAAATTTCAATATCCCGNCCCCTGAATCTTGAACTTTCAATATTTGGCAGGCCAAATCTTGAATTTCCAGATCTTCAATTTTCAATATTGAGTAGACCAAATCTTGAATTCCAAATCTTTAAGATTTTCAATATTTGGCAGACCAAATCTTGGATTTCCAAATCTTGAATTTTCAATATTTGGCAGGCCGAAATCTTGAATTTTCAATTTATGGCAGGGCAAACCTTGAATCTCAAATCTTGAATTTCCAAGTTCCAATATTTAATAGGTTAAAATTAATAATCCCTAATAAACTGCAGTGTACAGAAAATCATACACTGTACATGTACCTGCAAAGTTCAGCACACTTGGGTGGTTTGGTGACTTTTTCTCGTCCACATGGTAAGGTCAGTACTGTAGCACCACAGAAACACTTCACATCCACCTGAAGGGGACAAGGGTAACATGGACCTACAGGAGTGATGTAGAGATTGAGGACTGTGTCAAACTTTGAAGTAATCAACCAGCAAATATTTCAACAAAGCTAGCAAAGCTTTGCTATCAAACTCAGTATGCTGGAACATGAATCATAATCCAATGATGTACGCTCCTGTCATGCATTAACAAAGTTAACCATTGGCCATTTCCATTGGCAACGTTAAACTATAACAATAATCATTAAATGCTGTTAGCTGTACATGCACCAAGTTATGATGCACCTGTGAAAAAAGAAGTTTGCAGACCACTCAAGGAGCTAAAGTTGCTCTAGGAGATGANCCTCCTTGAGCAACCCTCTTTTACGAAAGTCTTATGACAGGAACCACCAGGAAATGTTTACTTAATGGCCCGTAACTTTGATTGTGTACTTTTATAAATTATTTAACTACTCATCTACCTCTGTGACACTGTGATGGGCATTTGTGATTCCTACAGTTCAGGGTTCGGTTACAAGTCAGCTCACATGAAGGACAATGTCCATCACAGCACTGCAAAACAATCAACAGGAAATAATTGATTGCAGCGTTGCATGAACACGATGTAACACAAATATTCAGGTAAGGACTCATAATTTACTCCGAATCAAGGTTTGGAACATTTCAAACTCCACACAATGCTTCAGCTCCTGAGTGGATGCAAAAACAGCCCAGGGAAAAATAGCATACGAAGGTAAGTAATGTAGGCCAGAAGATAAATAAAATATTTAGTTTCAGTTATGCTGCATTGGACCATTCATTTCTAAGCATTTTCCATTCATAGAGGATATTACACAGTGGCAAGAAGATAGGAATTTTATGTTCTCGTGGCAAAAACAATATCTCACAAGTGAGCACAGCGAACAAGTGAGATATAGTTCTTGCCAGTCGAACATAAAATTCATATCTTCAAGCTAACGTATAATGTTCTTTTTATTACATAGACATGCTGATGACACCGTTTTTGATGATTTTCCAAAGATTTCCGACCACTTTCCAAAGACTTCCGAAGATTTTCCAAAATTGTTCCAAAGGCCAGACGAACATTTCTGAGCATTTTCCGAACATTTCCCAACATTTTCTGAAGACTGCTGAAGATTGCTGAAGACGACCAAAGAAGATCCAAAGATGTTTCAATCACACAGCAACAAATTTAAGGGTAGTTAAAGGGACAAACGAGAAATGTTATCAAACATGATATCTTCACATGTGAGGATATCATATCATTTTTATCAATTTGTTACCACTCGGTATACCACTGACTTTTATATAATANAAGGGACAAAAGAGTAATGTTATCAAACATGATATCTTCACATGTGAGGATATCATATCATTTTTATCAATTTGTTACCACTCGGTATACCATTGACTTTCATATAATAATAAAAATAAACCAGGTATTATGAAGTTAAAGAGGCACAAGAAGAGATCTAGCAAATCACACGCCAAATATCAGTCTTTCAGTTGAATCACAACTTCCTTGTCCTGTCTTCTCAGCCCTAATTGCTTTTTATTACTGATTGATCCCTTGTGCCCTCTTTGTTTGGGTCATTAATGGATAAAAAACAGGCACTTTCATTGACTGTCTCTTATAATGCAGACCTAAAAGTGGATTAGACAGACAATAGCCACCATTTGGCTTGAAAATATGTTTGGGTATTTGCCGGAGGACATTATCTGTTCCGAGAAGCAAACAGTTTCCTGAGTGTAGCTAGAGGAAAACTGTGAGGAACAGATAATGTCTAAGGACATATATCTGTTGTGAGCATATTTTTGCACAAAAGGGAGCCTATTGTGTTTATTATCCTTATAAATTAATATTTTTTTTTTGTGGCACACGCAGTTCTGAAAATTGGGAATATCACTCAGATATTCCCAGTTTTAGCTGGGTTTATTCAGTCACTAGACGCATTTTTTAAATAGATCAATCATGCGCAAGCAAAAATGTTTGCTGGATAATTTTATAGTTAATAAGGGATATCTAAAATGTTTTACATGCAAAACTTTCAAGTATATATTTTGTAAAGAAAGAAAAGAATGTCATTGGTTAAAACTATATATTCTAAGCTTACCTTACGTTTGCAGGGGTGACGTTCACATTGTCTCATCTTCAAACACTTGACTTCACAAAGAAACCCCTGTGAACACAAGACATTCTTCTCCCGCTTGCCACAACGACAGGTTTTTGTAACCACTTGTCGGCACACCCCACAAGATCCTGTGTGACATTGTTGAGTACATTTATGCCTGCCACAAGCTAACGGCTTGTCACAGGTCCCCCCGCAAGTCGGAACATCTTCAGTACATGGCAGTGATAAAGCTGTATGAAATAATAGAGATAAAGTTAAGAAACTTAAATAATGTGAAACTAAAAACAAATCTTATAATTAGTTAAAATAATTTAAATTATTACACAATAATTTTTTTTATAGAGAATGTCTGTCCTTTTTACATATGTCATTTTATTCTTGCATTTTGATTAGTTCTTACTTATGATCTATTGGAAGACAGATGCATGCATAGATGACATCATTAGCAATGTTTTTGGTTTCTTTAGTATATAAAACAAGTAGATTCCATGTTGCCATGCATCTATTCAGTAATAGATCACAGAAGATGTCAAAAGGCGGTAAGAACATCAGTGACACACTCGCCTAATTGTTCATGCACCTCTGTTTTGTTCTTACCACATTTTTACCTCACATGTGAATCATTTATTACTGAACAGATGCACAGCAACATGGAATCTAATATTGATCAAGTGGGAAATGTGATGGCCCAGTGCAGCACGCTACACTCCGAATCCAGATGGAGCGGTCTGGGTACAANAGCACAATGTTTTGCACCAATTGGCTAATCGTTTACAGCTGATAAAACGCTTTTCATTGTTCCTAAAAGGTGTGATTTTATTCTACACAATAACTTTCAACATATTTCCTGAGAGGGAAGGTTTCTTGAAATGAACACTCAAGTAACTTTTTGTTAAGAAACCTTGGTCTTGGCTAATAGCCAATATTTTTCCGTTTTTTTTCCGAAAGCTTTCGTCCACTATCATGTCTCACAAGTTTAGGGTCTCGGCTTATAGCCAAGCTTGGCTTAGAGGTAAATAAATACGGTACATGCATAACCCTAGAGAGCAGAACTTCGTTATCAGATTTAACCATTTCTAAAGATGGTAAAACTAGGTGCCCATAATCATTCTCACAGCCAGCGAGTTGCAAGCCTGGTACCAGAGTGAGTTGCACTTCCTATTTTCATGATCCCAAGGCCGTCACTCCTCTCACTGGCAAGTAGGAACAGCAGTTCTGGGAGACGTTTGCATGGCAACATGTACTTACTAGTTTGTCCACATGGACATTTCCTTTCTCCCGTTCTTGGACAGTCACCACAATTATCTGCATGACACAATCTTTCACATCTATGATGGCCACATGACAAAACCTTGTCACAAACCTGAAATATTAAAGGACTAGCTATGTTAATTAACACATGTGGATTAGTGACTTCTACCGACTAACTGCAAGACATTTTTCTACAATATTTAAGAGAGTACACATGCTCTCATTGGCCTAAAGGTGTGTTTAGATGAGAGTATGTAAAAACAGTTTTGATGAGAAATATGTTAGAAAAGCAATAGTCAAGACTGCTATTTTCTTTGTTTACATAGCATCATCTAGCATCACTTGGGAAGGGGAGTTGAGAGAATCCACGGAAGTTATGCAAACCCTCAACTGTGTCTTGGTTTGCATATATCTGTCTTGAATTCACCCAACTCCCCTTATGTTTAGATGAGGCTATTGCTTAAACAAAATATGCTTTTATGTTGGTATTAAGAAATCTCTTTCACATTTACATTTAAATCTACATCACTTGCCTGTTGAGCAAGCAAAGAACAGAATCTTCTAGCATGACTGCAAAATCCACTAGCCCTGGGCTATCAAACATGAATTTCTTTGCATGCTGTAAAAGCTTAGGAGGATAAAACAAATAAGTGATCACCTGTTCACACTGCCACTCTGGACTGGCACAAGGTCTTTTACTTGTCACTTTACCACATAGGCAGCTCTGTATACTTTCCTTGGGACATGGCAGACAGCCACCTAAAGAGTAAGAGGTAACATTTTTTAAAGTGTTTGATAAAGTTTCACCATGACGATCATTTCTCAGTCTGTTGCTGGTGTAGGGTTTGAAATTGAACTTCCTAATGATAATTCTTACAAGGAATCAACTTTTCAGTATTCAAACAGAAGACATGATGTAAAAAACGTTTCTTTAAAAATGAATTCACCTTAAAATTTTTCTCAAAACTATATCTAATTGCAAGGGGAAGGAGAACACTTAACAAACTATGTTGTAATATAACTTACTAACCAAGTTTGTTGATGCATCAATGGAGAGAAAGGTCCACAAAATTGTGATATTCACTACTTCTTGTTACAAGGTCTTTTATTTTTCTGTTGTTTCAAATCTACCTCTAGTATATAGCAACCAATCATTAAGTTCACCATTGCATCAACCTAATTATTTCTTACCAGGATGACATGGAGATTCGCAGTTGTGATGATCACATGAGAGGAGCTTTCCACAGGGCTTGCCGCATGACCATGATTTAGCACTACATCTTCTGACCACTGGTGGGTGAGATCCACAGTGACAGGACACACGGACGGTCTTTGGACAAGGAGGACATGGACCTATGAGTTCCAAGACACAAAGTAGCAAAATTAATGAAAAACTCTAATTATTAATTCAAATGCAAATTTATGTTGTTCAAATAATTTATCAATATTTGCATTGTGACCACAAATATTGTGCACAGTTCGCTTGTGCACCAGTGTATGGTTGCTGCACTGCTACAGGGGAGTTGCTTTTATGTGACAGGTACTGATAGTTAAGAAGCACTGGTGCTCAGGAGTAAAGGGAAAAGGAAGGGAACAGTTTTTTGTTACTTTATATGTATTGGTCAGGGCCTGCTTTGAAACATTTTCCCTACTTGAATTTATATGTCAGAGTTGTAACAAAGGTTTACAGAAGGCGGCTGATTGAATCACGTGATTATAAATTATATAGTATGCTAGAGCAGCCGGCTGAGATGATAAGGAAAGTAGTGCATTCTTCGCCAACAGTAGGCTACATTTGACAACACTGCATGTAATATATACATTGTGTGCTTAAAAAAGTTTGATATAATTTACGTACTTTACCTGGATGACAAAGCAAAAGACAATCATGACCACATTCAGGTTTAAGAGGTTTACTACAAGATTGGCCACAGGAGTGGGGAGTCAGCCATGGATCAAACAAAGGGTTTTCCTGGTGAGAAGAAGAGAGATAGTAATCAGGCATCTTTAATCCAAGCCACTTTGAATTTAAAAACAAATTGAGGCCAAACCTGTTACCCACAGGGCTTGAGACTAATTGTAATCAGCCAGTCACGTTTTTATTAGTCAGATTTGGCTGCTAGATTTTGTATTTCTACTAGCCCTTTTAGCTAGTCAAAAATAGCTACAGTGTACTCTAACAGCATTTGAAGAAGATCAAACTTGGCAACTAAATTATTTAGCTACTGTTGCTTCACAGGGATAGAAAGACGATAATTAAAAATGTCAAGAAATTGTTTGTAGCAAATGTTTCGTTCTTCATACCTGCTTTTCACAAAAGCAATAATATCTTGTAGGGCAGTCTGACTGTTTGAATTCAAACCTACACTTGGGGCTAAATTGGAAGAATCACAAAATAATACAAATAGAATGAATCACAGCAAAAAATAATATCAAAAAAACGTCATAAGCATGGACAGTAAATATGATACAATGGATTCCTTGTAACATGAAGGCAAAATGTGTTAATTTTAGTGAATTTTAAAATTAAAAAGTTTTCTTGGGTTCCAGTGTACCAAAACTTTGTGGCTGTCTTTAAACTCAGTACCATTTAGTTGTTGTTTCTTGTTTTGGGGTGAACTGTCAGAAAGGTTCTAAAAAGGTGGCTGCACAACAAAAGCAGGCCGTCAGAATTTCATGATGGCTTCGCAATAATATCATGCAACCTTTACATCATTATCATACTTTCAAATTATGTTCAAAATAATAAAATAAGATTTTTGCATGCAATAATATTATAATTGCAGAACAAGTGATAGCCTGTGTTATAACCGACCTTCCCAAAAGAAAAAATCACAGAGGTCACCAAACTTGATTCATTCTGCATGTCAATCAGATGGTCTCTGTTTCTGTTTAATTTCTATTGTTTTGATACACTTTAATTTATATATCCTAAATTAAGCACTTTTTTTAACAAAAAATGTTGTACCCCTGAAAGAAAAGGCGACATATCACACCCCTACCCTCCCCATAATGGCCACCTCTCTACGTGTACAGCAGCCACTTTCCCCTGTCCCCAAAGTGACCGTTGTGGGGAGGTTTGACTGCACTAATGAAAACAAACCTAAAGTCGAACCTCCGGTTGCGACCCCCTCTTGTAAGCCACCACCTCTCCTCAGCGACCAGTTTTCCAAAATACCAAAAGTTCTCAAGTCAAATCACTATTAATATTTTGAACCTCTTGTAAGCNAATGAATTATTCTAATATACTGTAGGTCAAGAAAGATGTCATACATACCAGTACCATGGAAGATCAGCTTGAGATATGTTATCAGAGGACAGGAGGTTATATGCAGCACCATCCCTGGCCCATTTCTGAATACATTGAAGGTGAAGAGTTGAGAAACATTGGCTACAATTCCATACCTGAAATGAGAAAATTCCAAAATTAATATCCTGACACATAATGAATGTCTAGGGAAAATCAACAACAATAAGCCAATTGACTCACTACTAAGTAATATATATTGAAAACTCTGAAAACACATTCATTTTGTTTATAACTAATTTGAGAGAAATTTTCAAGCAAGTTGTTTTGTTGGCGGTTAATTGGCTGTGTTAGTTGTCAGTTCTTCCCAATCATGTTGTTCAAAAGGTGGATAAATTGATATTATCCAAGTGTTGGATGAACCAGTAGCTCAATATATAATATGGGTTATTGACCAAGTGTGAGGTCAAGATGACTGGATATTGGCCAAGTCCTTTTTGCATGCTTATGGACCGAGATGGAGTGAAGGTCTACAAACTTGTGAAAAAGAATGAGGCCAATATCCAGCCATCTTAACCATACAAGATTGGTAAAAAAAAGGATTTATTATGTGGACAAAGAACACTAATTTCTTATGGGACACAGGCTTTTGGCAAAATTTTTTCTTGCAGAACACAGCGGGTGGTCCCAGGTAAGCAAGATAGCACCATCTTGCCCGCTCAAGTAGCCAATCACAGCACAGGATTTGGTTCATCTTGCCCACTCACTATGCTAGTTTTGTAACTCTTCAGTTAGGTTTTCTGTTTGCATTTTTTGTCCTTCAATTCTGAGTTTGAATAATCTAAAATTACACAAAAAATAAGCAGTGAAACACATTTTTATACAAGAGAAATCAGGAGATTTGACAGCTGTTCCAGGAGACCACGAAAATTGGCCGTCATCAAGAAGACTCCCTGAAATTCAAGAGGACTGGAGGTCTTTGACACGACATACATGTACTTACTGCATCAACGTGCTTGATAGAAGCAATGCATATTAAACACACACTAGATCCAGGTTTGCAGGAGTCTATTAAATACTGAGCAGTTTTGTTTAGGCCTTCTTCACTGTCTGCAAACAAGATAGCAATGTCCTGATAAGTAAAGAGAAGTTAAGTGCTGGTCAATTGCGGTATAAGTACAGTCGAAGCCACTAACGGCCGCCTCTCTATAACAGCCATTTTTTGTGTCCCAGCAAGACTGTACATACATACATTCCAACTGCCAAAAAAAATCTCTCGACATGATCTGTACTGTGTGTCGTTTGTCTCTGTTCCTTTTTAGTTTCTCTGTTCTTGATATATTATTTTGATCATGCATATTTATTGATATTGGTACAATAAGCATGTTTTGAAAAATATAAGAATGTTGTACCCCCCAAAAGCGGGTAACCTCTCTACAACGGCCACTTTCCTCTGTCCCCAGGGAGACCATTGTGGAGAGGTTCGACTGCAAAATGGTATCAGCTAGGTGAAGCTGAGGGGAGGGGACGGGGCAACAAATTACTAGTTAACTCCAGTAGTGTTTTCTCGACTAAACGTGTACTTATTTGATCTTGTAAACCACTCATCTTTCAAAATTAATTAATAATACCTTGTGAGGTATTTCTGTAGTTCTTCAACGTGTTGTTCAATATTTCACTGTCATTAATTTCTTCGTCCTCTGAGGAGTCTTCAAATTCGTCGTCCACTCTTTCCAAGTATCTCTTCGCAGACTCCTTTATTTTATTTGCCTTTTCCTGCCTCTCCTTGGAAGCTTCAGGCACCTTGGGTGAATTTGCACCGCCATTTTCAGCTTTTCTGGAATTTCCCCATTTCGCGGGTAACAAATGTCCGCGGCCACCAGATTGCCCTGCCGCCGGATTGGTACCTTTTTCTTCATTTCCGCGGCCTCTACCTCGACCTTTTCCAAGAAATAACGGTCTTTTGTCCATTTTTGTTTCTAATATAAGTGTTTAACGCAACATTTTTGCATGTCAAGGAATCAAAGCGAAAAATAACGACAAATAAATATTGCACACGAGGATAGTACTCTTTTTTCTGTTGAAAGTCTGACGCGAGCCTGCTCAAAAGCAGCGGACTACAGCTATCGCAAATTTCTACGTCGTGTAAAACTCTACCACAGGAGAAGAATACGGTAAGTACTTGGTGTAAGACTACGTATAATGCGCTGATTCACAGATAAACATGGCCACAAGCTCTGTGAGGAAATGTTTCGTTTTCCATTTCTTTGTCGTAGCCGTGTATATTATGTAGTAAGGGAATGTGATGTTTTTATTTTTAAAGAGAGCCGTGTATTTATTTTCGTTTTAAACCTTGCGTTATACAGGGTGGTAGCAAGCTGGGTGAAGGAGAGAGGGAACATGCGTTGATTTCATCCCTGCAGTCTCTTTGTAAGGAACACGATCGTGAAACAGCAAGACAGGCAATCGAAACGCTATTGACACTTGCAAAGTAAAATAATTTTAGTGCTTATTAAGTTAGGGAGGGTGTCTATATGATGGACATTTACGTATGGTTTTTAAAGTTTGTCTTAGTTTTTCTTGTAGTTCTGTACTTCTGTTATAAACAATAGGGCTTGCTTGTTTTACATGGAGTCTTGCTCGTTCCGCAAAGGGGTTGTGGTGGGGGCGGGACAGATGGTAGAAGGTGATATTTTAAGGAAAGATTCGAGTTTGATGAATCAATGAACCATAGACCTGTAAATCAAAATATTCTTGGTGAATTGCAGTGCTTCCTCAGTTTGGGAATGATTTCATCTCATTCACTTTGTTCACTGTGTGTGAAGCACGCAGATGATAATTATCAGGTTGCTCAATGGATAGACAACACTAATCCACTAGAAAAGCGCACACACTACTCCATCCAATTTGTCCAATTTATCCAATTTATCCAATGGTTAGTTTATCCACCGTTTGGCACCAGATTAAATCGCTGCCTAATGGACAACAGTTTACTGTGCCCTGCCAACGGCAAGCAAATGTCATGGTTTTCAAAAATTCTGTACACCACTGAATCTCTTTGGAAGGTTTACTAACTAAAAATGTTAAACTGAGACCTTCTGAAGATAAAAACAACAACAACAACAACAACTTCCCTTCTCTTCCCATCTTTCCTGTTTTTCTTATGTTTATTTTCTCCCCATCTTCCCTCAAAAGAGTTATAAATTCTCTTAATATATTTTCAAGTCCCACTGATCTCATTTTACTTTACTCCCTGTATTTTATTCTCTTACCTAGCAACATCATAAAGTCGCCCATTGATGAAAAGTACCGCAGGGTCAAGACACAAAACAAATCTTTTTCATCCAAAGTTTGGTGCTTACCGGAGGCCCAGCAGTTTCTTCATCACTGGGGATGGATTGAGGTGTGCTGCAGACAGTGAATTTTATAATTGAAGGGGTGTAGGGAATAAGGACTTAAGTGACTGTTGATGAAATTTTATTCTATTTATTTAATTTTTTATCATTGTTCTCTGCATTGTTATCGCTAAGAACTTTCTTTTTAGCTCTTACTTTTGTTACTCTACACTTAGAGCAGATCTCAATAAGCGCTATTTAAATATCTATTATCATCATCATCATCATCATCATC